TGCTGGTTGTGGGTTTCTCATAGACGGCTTTTACTATTTTGATGTATGTTCCTTGTATGCCTAGATGTTCAAGGGCTTTTATCAAGAAGGGGTGCTGGATTTTATCAAAAGCTTTTTCAGCATCTAATGATATAACCATGTGGTTTTTGTTTTGACACCTGTTCATGTATTTAATTACATTTACAGTTTTACAAATGTTGAACCAGCCTTGCATCCCAGGGATGAAGCCTACTTGGTCATGATGGATGATTTTTGAGATGTGTTGTTGAATCTGGTTTGCTAGGATCTTGTTGAGAATTTTAGCATCTATGTTCATCAAAGATATTGGCCCATAGTTTTCTTTCTTTGTTGGATCTTTACTTGGCTTAAGTATCAATGTGCTATTAGCATCATAAAATGATTTGGGGAGGGTTCCCTCTTTCTCAATCGCCTGAAATACCTTCAGTAGTACTGGAATCAGCTCCTCCTTAAATGTCTTGTATAATTCTGCTGGTCCAGGCCTTTTTTTTTGTAGGTAGTTCAATTTCCTTGATTGTTATTGGTCAATTTAGGGTCTCAATTTCTTCTTGTTTCAACCTAGGCAGGTTGTGTGATGACAGAAAGTCCTCCATTTCCTTGAGGTTTTCAAGTTTGTTTCCATACAAGTGTACATAGTAGTCTCTAATGATCTTTTGTATTTCTTCAGGGTCAGATGTGATTTCATCTTTTGTGTTTCTGATTGTGCTTATTTGGATTTTTTCTCTCTTTTTCTTGGTCAGTCTAGCTAGGGGAACATCGATCTTGTTTATCCTTTCGAAGAACCAGCTTTTTGTTCCATTGATTTTTCGTATTATCTTTTTGCCTTCTATGTCCTGGATTTGGGCTTTTATTTTGGTGATCTGGATTTTTCTGCTAAAATTAGGGTTTTTGTGGTCTTGCATCTTCCTTAGGTGGCTTGTTAGGCTGTCAATTTGTGATCCTTCCATTTTCTTCATGTGCGTTTGTAGGGATATAAACTCCCCTCTTACTACAGCTTTCATGGTGTCCCAGAGATTTTGGTAAGATGTTTCTTCATTTTCATTTGTTTCCAGGTATCTTTTGATCTCTGTTTTGATTTCATCATTGACAAGTTGTTTAGCATCATACTGTTTGGTGTCCATGTCTTTGTGGGTTTGGGGGGTACCTTGTTGGTGTTAATGCTTATTTTTGTTCCACTGTGGTCTGAGAAGTTGTATGGTAAAATTTGAGTCCTTTTAAATTTGCTTATGCTTGACTTATGGCCAATTATGTGGTCGATCTTAGAATATGTTCCATGTGGTGATGAGTAGAATGTGTATTCTGTGGTCTTTAGATGGAGTGTTCTGTAGGTATCAATTAAGTGCATTTGGTCGAGTCACATTGAGGTTCCAGATCTCATTGCTGATTTTTTGTCCTGATGACCTGTCTAGGGTTGTGAGTGGGGTATTAAAGTCTCCAGTTATGATGGTGTTAGAGTCAATATCTTTCTTTAGTTTTCCTAGAAGTTGCTTTATAAAAGTTAGTGCACCTATGTTAGGTGCATATATGTTTAGGATGATATTTCTTGTTGATGGAGTGAACCTTTTATCATTATGTAGTGGCCTTCTATATCTTTTTAAATTTTTGTAGCTTAAATGGTATTTTGTCTGAAATTAGGATCATGACCCCTCTATTCTTTTGTATTCCATTCGCCTGAAAATTCATTTCCCATCCTCTTACTTTGAGTCTGTGCATATCCTTTCTAGTGAGATGGGTCTCTTGAAGGCAGTATATCGTTGCCTGGTGATATTTTATCCATTTTGCCATTCTATGTCTTTTCAGTGGTGCATTTGGCCCATTCACATTCAGGCTAATTATTGAAATGTGAGAGTTCGTCCTTATCATAGACTTTTTTTTTTTAAATAATTAATCAGTATTATCATAGACTTTTTATAGAGTTGTTCTTCCACTTGGTTTATTGTCTTTCTTTTGGTTTTGGGGTTGGTTCATGTGTATTTTATTCTTTTTCCTGTACTCTTGTGAAGAACGTTATTCTTTTTTCCCCCCTTTCTTAAGTGTTTCATGTAGAGGTGGTTTGGTGGCAGCGTAAGTTCTTAGGGACTGGGTATCTGGGAAAGATTTTAATTCTCCCTCGATGAAGAAGCTAACCTGGCTGGGTCGGTTATTCTTGGTTGAAATTGTTCATCTCTTAGGACTTTGAAGATAGGGCTCCTAGCTCTCCTAGCCTGCAGGGTTTCTGTAGATAAATCTGCTGCTATTCTAATTGGTCTTCCATAGTAAGTGATCTGGCCTTTTTCTCTTGCTGCCTTTAGGATTTTTTCCTTTTTTACCTACTTTGTTTAGGCGAATTATTATGTATCTAGGAGTTGGTCTTCTCATTTGTTGTCTTGCAGGGGTTCTCTGAATCTCTTGTGCTTAAATTTTTGCATCACTGATTAGATAAGGTAAGTTTTGTTGAATAATCTCATGGAAAGTTTGTTCCAGTGTGGTCTCGGTCTCTCCTTCTGCCTCAGGAAGGTCAATTACTCTTAGGTTTGATCTCTTGAAGTAATCGCTCATCTCTTGAAGGTTTTGTTCTGTCTTTTTGAGCTTGTTTTC